AAGCATAGACGAAGCTATTCTTCATGAAGGGGATTACTCTACCCGGTTGAGTATCTTAACTCCCTGGAACCATCAGGAATGCCTCCTCATAAGCTGAGACTAAAAAAGGGAGCCATAGTTATGCTTTTGAGGAACCTCGATGTAACTAACGGCCTTTGCAATGGCACACGACTGAGGATCGAAACTCTAGGGCGTTTTGTCCTAGGTTGTCGTTTTATCTGTGGGGAACGAAGAGAGCAGCCAGCCGTTATTCCGAGGATCGATAACTATTGCGAAAGGCAACTACCATTCCGGCTGAGAAGACGTCAGTTCCCCGTTAAAGTCGCGTTTGCTATGACGATTAACAAGTCCCAGGGGCAGTCATTTACAAAAGTCGGTGTTTATCTCCCTGAAGGTGTATTCAGTCACGGGCAGCTGTATGTTGCCTTCTCCCGAGTTCGAACACCGGCCGGCCTGAAAGTGAGTACACCAACAAGAGCAGTTCGAAACATTGTTTATGAAGAGGTTTTGCTCTAATCCATTTTGCACTAACTTTAACTACTGATACTCGGACTATTACTGGTTTTCAAAAAATGAGAGAAAGATCATAATCACGCAGCTCCTTGATATCAACGTAATTGAATGAAATGACCCATGCCAAAGAAGTAAGGAAAAAGAGCTGAATAGCAATAGCGCGTAAATTAGCCGAAATCGAGCTTTCATGATCAGAAGAGCAAATTAGATATCTTGCCTGGCGAACAACCGGAAACCAGAGCTGATTCACATTTCTGCAATGATATTAGGACAAGTAAGATAGCGGTATCGACTTCAACTTGACAGCAGCTTTTTTGGATTTGCTTTAGATGGCAGAAATGCATAGAACATTGCTTCATTAGCAAGAATCAATTATGGCGAGCCAAAAATTTGAGAACATTATCGAGTCTTTTTTCCATAACTGTTCTAAGGTTCAAAGCAATATCGATGTACGTAAATAATCCTCAAGATTGCTAAGAAAACAATAAGCAACACTGTTTTCGTTTACTCCAGCAATCACCTACCGTCAGCATACAAGATTAATTTGGGCTATATAAAGTGAGCACACGAAAGTCTATGAGGTATGCTAAAACACGGAATTCTCATACACAAGGTGATATTCTTTATTTGATAGAACTAAGTTCGCATAAATAAACACCTTTACAGGGGTCCTCATATCACGTACAACTGTTAGCAGTGTATGCTTACTGTCAGCATGTAGCAAGTGAAGATGTTACGAATTTCGCTTTAGAAGGATGTTACTGCTGAAAACATTTGCACTGTCTACTTAAATGATAAGAAAGTTTTTCAAAATCGCCATACTTAGGACATGGATAGCAATTATCGTGGCCAAAACGGCTTATGTCAGTTAGAAGTGAAAAAATAATGGGAGCCTTCAATCCCATATTCTCTGCAAAATTTGCTTTCACATCAATCTGAAATAGTTCGTAATATGCGTTGGGATAATCAATTCTATGGACGTAGCATTATTTCGTATTGTCTTCCTGTCGCTTTGCTCATATTTCTAAGGCGCAGAAAGCAGATTTTTTGTGATTTCATGCCGGACTACAATGTCATGTTAATTGATTACACAACAAGAACGTCTCTCACATTAGCGATTTTGTCCGATTCATCAACAAAGTTAGTCAGACATAGGACTTATGTAAAGAAAAATAGCTGGAACTCGATTTCTCTGTCCGCATACAAACTTACTTTTCACTTTCTGTTGATAATATAATCGAAACAAATTAATAAGGAGCGTTTCAGTTCTGATAGGTATTTCCTTGCCAATTATGATGGAATTTGTCAGAACTTAATTTCAGTGCACGTTTGAAACAGTCGGAGAGTCCGGCGAAGCCGGACGATCAGAGTGGTGATATATGAGATCGAATTGCGATAACAGGAAGGAAAAAGCGTGGGAGATGGAGAGCGTGGGCGGTGCACCTGAAATAATAATTTGATGATTCTGCGCTTCTATGACCAAAGCAGCCAGCGGCGGCTACAGACTGCTGCCGGTGCTGTGGGCTGCTACGGGCTGCTGCCGGCTGCTACGGGCTTCCACGGGCTGCTTGCGGCTGCTGCCGGCGCGGTATGAAGGCACCCTAAGCAGTCTAATTGTAAGAATGAAGTCTTCCAGAGTTTCAAAGGTGAGGTCTTCCCAAATACAGTGCGTCTAACGGGGGCCAGCGCCGCGTATGGCTGTGGTGTGGAAGGCGACAATCTCCAACTTGTACCTTTCAAAACTCTTTGGTGCTAAAGTAACACGGCGCCAAGGTGGGGGGGGGGGGGGGAAAGATACACGACTCGACGCCATATGTGAAATTTTGTAAATGTAGCAAGAACGATTAGAGACAGTGGCTCGGCAAATCCTCGACCTGAAGTTTTTTCGCTTACCTGGGATAATTCGACGCGCTGACTTCGGAAATACACTTTGAAGGGCAAGAAAATGTTGAAAAGCTTTTTTCAAGGGTTCATCTTGAATTTGGCGAGTGGACCACTCTCCGTCATGGTTAGAGACATAGAGTCGTTGCGGGACCCTCTTGAAGCGGCATGCCGCCTCTGACAGCGGGATCAGCCCGCCGCCCTTCGCCGTCGGCTCAGTACGCGTCGCGGCTCAAAGGCGACGCGTGCACCCGTATACTCGTTTCATTAAGCATGAGAGAATTTTGCGCAACTGTTCTAAGCTACCAGACGGAAAGTGTTTTTCAAACGTTATTTCTGTGCGTAGATTTCGTTATGGTTCCGTTTGGCGGAGTAGTTCGCCAAACAAATCGATCACTTTGCCTCGTGTGCTTTTGTGTCAGATGCTAGACGCGAAACAATTGCTTCTATCACAGCTATGGGTCATACACTAAAATACGCCAGTAAAATATGAGCAGGCACTAAGGAGAGACTTATGCAGTAAAGATAGGCATGAGTCTACGCAGACGGAAATTTTCCTCCATTTTTGATTGTTGTGGTGGTTCAGTGGGATTCTTTTGCCCTTTTCGTGCCTTTGTCAACACTAGAGGGATTTAGATGGATTTATTCAGCAACAAAATAAGCCGGTGTCTCGGGACACGACAATGTGAAGAGTGGGGGACTGTCGGCCCAGAGGAGGCTGGCCGATGAGCACAAAGAGTCTGCCATGTGGCAGGCTCTTTGCGCCAGAAATGAGTAACATAATGAAATGTAAACAATTTAGAACAAGGAGTTAAGTTCGGGTCGTGTCTTTATCACGACAATTGTCCGCTTCTTAATATTAAAGAGGATAGAACATGTACAAAAATATTGCAATCTCTTGCTGAGATTACGCTTTTTTGCGCGCTCCGGATATTAGACTCACTCTGTACACCAAGAAGACAAGGCTTTATGGTTGGACAGGTTGGACAGCTAGGATGTCAGTATGGTATGCAAATTTAGAGCCAGTGACTCGTCCACTCACATGCTTGTCCAGTCACGGGAAATATGGCATTAGCGGGATTCCAAGTTTGTCAATAAGAGGCGCTATTCCAGTATCCGGGCCCCAAAATTTTTATGTCGTAGATTCAGCTGAAACTTGGTCTAAGGGGGTTATTCCGCTGATGCCGAATATTAGATTGGTTTTGTACGATAGGTCGTTTTCTGAGGTTACGGTAGGTGTACGGTAGGGGGATCAAACTCACGAATTTCCCTGAAACTTGACCCAGCGGGGTTATTCGGCCCGCTGATGCTAAATATCACATTGGTTTTGAACCGCTGCACCACTTTTCCGGGTTACGGTAGGTACACGGCAGTGGCGTACCCAGGATTCCGGCTCGGGGGGGGGGGGGACAAATAAAATTTTTCAATGAAGGTGCGTGGCGTTAGCCACGTACTCCGAAAAATTTTCTGGGATGTTTCCCAAATTTCCGGGCCCATGACCCCCAAAAGTCCTCTGCACATTTTTATAACACACTAGCTGGGCTACCCGGCTCCGCCGTATGTTCCGAATAGAAAATTCCATTTCTTAACCGATCCGAACCAAACTTAGCACGCATACACTTCGGGCCCCGGAGGGTGTCATAGGCTACTTTTCGTCATCGATCGATATCGATTTTATCGATTTTTTGCAAAATTTGAGCTACGGGGCTGGAATTTGGCAGGGGGGTGTAATCGAGCATGCTGATCACCCCCATGGGGGTGATCAGCATGCTCGATTACCCCGCTGTGCCAACTCCCAGCCTCGTAGCTCAAATTTTGCAAAAAATCGATAAAATCGATATCGATCGATGACGAAAAGTAGCCTATGGCACCGGTCCGACCCCGAAGTGTATGTGTGCCAAGTTTGGTCCGGATCGGTTCAGAAATGGAATTTTCTATTCGGAACATACGTACAGACAGACATACAGACAGACATACAGACAGACAAACAGGCATTCAGCTTTATATATAAGATTTAAGTAACTTTCAAAAAGTGGGCGCGCCCTCCCCCCCCCCTTGGTACGCCACTGGTCCACGTTAACGAGTAAAAAACATAGTTCTGCCTGAAACGGGTGTACGGCGATTCGGACGATCGTGAACTTTGCACCACGACCACCGCCGCGCTCTGCACACGCTGCTGTGGCTTTTGCCTAAGCAAAGCACGGGGGGAAGATACATTTGCCGATTTGTGACTTTGACCCCTACTGTAAACCTACCGTAACCATGCAGGGAGACGTTTTTGTGCGGAGAAAATGTGACATTTCTAATCAGCATGTCGAATAACCCCTCTGTGCGAAGTCACAGCGAATTCTGGGGTTTTGAACCCTTACCGCATACCTACCATAACCCGGAAATGACGCTACGGTAGAAAACCAATGCGATATTTAGCATCAGCAACCGAATAACCTCCCTTGGCCAAGTTTCAGCAAAATCCATGTCAGAAAAATTTTGGGGCCCGGATACTGGGATAGCGTCAGTTCTTGCATGTTTAACACCCGGCGCATGAGAACCTATAAGCGTTTGCTGGTGGTCATCGGTCATATATTTGTACCGATAGTCTTTTTTAGAGCGGCAGTCACTCATTGTATATTCGATTTTGATGGTCTTCTTGTCGACACTGAGAAGTGCTATACAATCGCTAATCGAACAATGTTGCGCAAATTCGGACGTGAGTTTACGCCCGAGCTCAATGAACGTGAGTTAAATTATATAAGTAGTGATAACTGCGATCATCTCGTCTTGTATTTCAGTGATTATGGGCAGAAAAGAAGACGATGCCTTTCCTTTGTTGTTCAAAGCGGTACAGCGTAAAATAGGGATGTTTGTCAAACTTCCTTGCTTTCAGATGTAAGCACATTTAGGTTGGCATAGAAGGTAAAATTACTCTTGAAGAGTATATCGCGCAATATGACATCCTTTTGTACGATATGTTTCCAAAATGCCAGGCGATGCCCGGAGCAGAGAAGCTGGTGCGACATCTTTCCAAAAAAGGTACGATGTACACCTGAAGGGCATATGGTTATTGGAAACTTCCGTTCAAGAAATACCAATGGCTATATGCTCGGGATCCAGGGAAGTGACTTTTGGACCACGCGAAAAACCTCACAAGGATTGGTTGGATCTCATAAAGTTGAAGGTGTCATCGGAGATTATCCCACACATTCGGTTTTTCTGAATTTAGCCAGTCGTAAAGACCATGATTTCGCTGCTATACACCTTTGCCTTCAGTTCTTCTGCGGTGACGAACCATCAGTCAAACGAGGAAAGCCATATCCTGACCCATACATAGCCACAATGAACAGGTTAGACCTTGATTTGTCTTGTCATATACCGTTTTACTACCATACATTTTTTGTTCTTGTTAGCTTGAGCTTGTGCTTGCTCTTACAATCACAGTGCAGCTGATGATACTGGATTGCTCAACTGTCTCAAACTTTGGCCGTACATATCCGAAGTAGCAGTAATACCAGTGTTACCCAAGCTATTATTGTCTAGTATTCAGTTTTACAGTTTTACAAGTGTTGCCGTTTTTACTACTGTTGAATAGTAAAATGGTGACCTCTTCTTTGCAAGGAAGCTTGAGCGCTGGTTTGCCGTTACGAGTAACACTGATAACAGGAACAACACTGGTATAGTTGTCCTCACCCTACTAGTCGGCCCAGTGGACCAATTCAAATTCAAACTGGAGCAGGCCGATCTCGGCAAAGCGCGGCACCCGAGCCTTCAGTTCAAAGCTACGCACATTTCTTTTTGGTTTTTTTTAAACCGTTGTTTGTTAATTCATGTACTATACTAACGTTTCTAGTCAAATTTGCGTTTTATTTGTCAGGCCCGGAGGTGCACTCTCCTGACTTGAATCCTTTACCCTGGTTGTCTTACTTTATATGAACATAAGATTTATGACTAAAATCTTTATTACATATTTATAAGATAAGGAAAGGGGAAGGGTAACCGCCGGTCACCCGGTTAGGCAGCTCATTTGAAATGTTGAGCACCGCCCAGTTGGGGTGAGAACTGCTGTCGGATTATCTCTTAGTCTGCGTCTCGGCATGTTATTGTTGAGTGTTGTTTCGCGCAGTTATGCTCGGTTTTTGTATAGGTGATTTTATTCAAGCTTCTAGAAACGATGCAAATGGCAAATTTTTGTGACAATGATCACTAAAACAACACTTCTGCACGTTTTACTCACAAATAGAAAAGAAGATTTACTTCAGAGGTTTCCCATCTGTAGTGTTTCTGTAGTTACTTGTATTCAGACTTGAAGTAGCGAGCGTAGCTGTACAAAAACAATGCTCGACAACAATAATATAGTATTTTGAAAATGAACATAATTACAACACGAAGATTAACAAACAACTACAGTGAAAAAACTACAGAGAAACATGCGCATAACCTAAACTGAGGATTCAGGTGTCGCGCTCTGCCGCCACTGGCCTGCTCTTGTTCGGGGAACGTCCGGAAGGCGACAAATGACCTATAGTCTGCCTCAATCGGAACCAGGCCGAACCGTCGGTGAATTTGCGCGCTCGCAGCGCTGGGGCTTCGCGCTACATACGCGTGCTGTCGCAGAGAGCGAAGAGATTGAGGAGAGAGCAGACTAGCTAGCTGTAGACGTGACGCAATACCCTAGCGACAGGACTCCCGCCATGCCAATTTTCGCCTGGTTGGGATTGGGGCAATTGTAGAACAGGCGCAGCTGATGGCCACGCCCTGTCCGAGTTTCTCGTTGTTGGAACAGAACATTTGGATTGGAGCGCCTTTATCACGTTGCGCATGGCTCTCATTTTTCTCTGACTTCGTCGCTTTTCACATGTTTTTTTCGTACAGTTGCTCTTGCTTCATGTATGTTACATATTATTGCTCATCTGGTAATGTGATAATTTGCTTCCTTTTGCATTTTCCTTTCCTTAAACATATGCTCTTCAAAAATGCCTCTGTAAAAAATTTTGTTCTAGGCTCTGCAAGCAGTGCATACAATGCAAGTAAAAAGATTATCATAGTAAGGAGGTTTGCAGTTATCGTGTTCTTGAGTGATATTATACTTTCGTATTTTGTCGTGAGTTTAGTTAACTACACGCCATATTTTTATTGTTAATAGCTGGCTTACCCGGCTCCGCCCGGCCCTGTCAAAACACTAAAGTTCCACTCCCTTCCCTGTACAACCTTCCCCTGTGCCCACTTCTACATGCAATTCCCTATTCTCGCTGTCTTAGGCCCGTATGCACGTACATCCCCGCGGGGAGGGGAGGGGATCTGAGAGGGGAGTCGTCGTATCTCGCTTATCTACATATCTTTCTTCTTCTTTCTCTGTCTTGCTTTTGAAGGTTCTCATACACTGATACTTGCGCATAGCGGAGCCAGGTTACTGCCATACAAGATTAGATAATCACTATTTCGTCTGATCCCCTGGGGATCCCCAGGGGATCACCTCACATTTTCAAAGTCATTTATCTTCCTGAAAACTCAGTGAAAATGCTCTAAAATTTTACTGAGGATATACTACAGCACTGCTAAACATGTTTATGGTGAAATACGTGAAACGTCAAGATATCAAAATCTTCGATGAACCGCTGCTCGCGAGCCATGGACAATCAAAAAAAAACAAAATCTTAAGATCCCATTTCTTCTATCGAAAACATGCTCAGCAGTATCGTAGTATATCTTCAGTACAATTTTGCAGCGTTTTCATTGATTTTTCAGGAAGATAAATGGCCTAAAAAATGTGAGGTGATTTCCTGGGGATCCCCTAGGGATCACACGAAATGGCAAAAAACCAATCCTGTATGGCAGTAACCTGGCATCCGTTATGCGCAGGTATCAGTGTACGAGAAACTTCATAAGCAAGATAGAGAAAGAAGGAGAAAGATATCTAGACTAGGGAGATATGACTCTTCCCCTCTCAGATCCCCTCCCCTCCCCGCGGGGATGTACGTGCATGCATACGGGCCTTAGTAATCAGCATGCTCGATTACCCCATGTGCCAACTCCCAGCCCCGTAGCTCAAACTTTGCAAAAAAATCGATAAAATCGATAAAAGTAATGGATAATTTTGGAAACTAAAATTGTATTCGCAATCAGCATGCTCGATTACCCCCTGTGCCAAATCCCAGCCCCGTAGGTGAACTCGGCAAAAAAATCGATAAAAATCGATAAAATGATGTCGGTCGATGACGAAGAGTGGCCTATGACACCCGCCCGGCCCCGAAGTGTATGTGTGCAAAGTTTGGTCTGGATCAGCTCAGAAATGGAATTTTCTATTCGGAACATGCGTACAAACAGACATACATACATACAGACAGACAGACAAACCATACAAACAGATATTCAGCTTTATATATAAGATATAACTGACTTACCCGGTTTCGCCCGGCCCTGTCAAAAACGATAGAGGTTCTATATCTATCCCTGTACACTTTTGCCTGCGCCCACTTCTACATGCAGTTTCCTATTCCCGCTGTGTGAGTAATCGGTATGCCACCTACCTTCTTCACCAACCCCCCAGCCCCGTAGCTCAAACTTTGCAAAAAAACAACAACAATAAAATCGATAAAAGTAAGGATAATTCTAAAAACTGGTGGCGTTGTTCGGCTATCCAGGCCCTAAAATGTTTCTGTGGTGTGTCTTGCTCAAACTCGGTATATGGGGGTCATTCAAGCCCCTGTGACGAACATGGTAGTCATTTCGCGTAGCAGCGGGTAAAAATCATGAACCTGTCTGCAATTACCTAGAAGGCTGTTTCAAGAATCGTGCTTAATCCCCATGATAATGGCAATTCGTGTGGTATAAAAGTTTCCCACGACCGTAATGCTTTCCTCATAGGACCACTGCCGCGCACGATACACCCTTCGGCGGCTTTTGCCTAAGCAAAAACAGGGGGAGGGAGATTTGCCGCGTGCGTTACGCGTTGGGACAGGTTATCATGATGGCGCTGGAGACCGCCATGCAAAACGACCGTTTTCCCATCTCTTGAATATCTGGGATCCAAATTGGCCCGAAAGCGAAAAAATGTCCATTTGAACCCCGCAACTCACCATAACTTCACTAATGCGTTATGACAGCGAGCAAGCATCGTATTCATAAGCGATATACTTGTAAACCGTTACAGGTAAAATTTTGAACAAATCTGGAACTTCGATCCATTTACACCCACCGTAACCCAAGAAAATGCACTTTTCTGCGAAGTCAGCATGATATTCATGTTCAGCTCGCTAAATGACCACTTTAGACGAAGTTTAAAGCAAATTTATGTTTTCGACCCCGCCATATAACCACCACAACTCCATGAAAAGGTCCGAATATGCAGAGAGAGAGAGAGAGAGAGAGATGATATTCGTAATTAGCATGTCGAATAAGCCATGTGGACCGAACTCCAGCCGAATTCATGATTTTGACTTCCTACCGTACACCTATGGTAACCACACGCGAAGACGTTCTGCGGAGAAAGTGTGATATCTGTAATCAGAATGTAAAGGGCCGTGCATACTTTACGCGATCTCAGTCGCGACGCGAGTGTGTGCAAATTCCCAGCCCCGTAGGTCAAACTTTACAAAAAATCGATAAAATTGATAAAAGTAATCGATAATCCTGAAAACTAATATTGTATTCGGAATCAGCATGCTCGATTACCCCTTGTGCCAAATCTCAGCCCCGTAGGTGAACTCTACCAAAAATTGGTAAAATTCGATGAAATCGATATCGATCGATGACGAAAAGTAGCCTATGACATCCGCCGGGGCCCGAAGTGTATGTGTGCCAAGTTTGGTCCGGATCGGTTCAGGAATGGAATTTTATATTCGGAACATACGTACAGACAGACATACAGACAGGCAGACAGACAGACAGACAGACATACAGACAGACATACAAACAGACTTTCAGCTTTATATATAAGATTAGGACGTACAGTATTCCAGCGTCCATCGGCCGAGATTACTGAAATAAGAAGGGAACATGATATTTACGTTCCTACATTACTTTCAAAAAAAAAAAGCGTCTAAAACAAAGCCTTTTGAAGGTCTAGGCCCTGTTTGTTTGGAGCATCTTATTTTTGGCCGATGGACGTTGGCCAAATACTGTACGTCGTTGATCAGTTCTTGTGCAGGCCTCGTCCAAGTTTATGATGTGGAACAGGTAGAATGTGAATTCCACTCAACAACTATACTGTAAGCTAGTTATACAAGTAAAGGTGAGCATTCATTCTTTTGCATCTTATTTACAACTTGACTTTTCTTGTGGCTGAACCAGGGTCAAGCGTGTTGATGCGATCCGGGACCCTCATTTACGACCGCCCCCTGAAGGTACC